CGCCACGATTCGAGGTGGCATCTTCAGTGCGGGATTGATAGCAGTTAAGTAGCAGGAGCTGGCAGAAAGCAAACCCAGTAATGGATACTGTCAGCAACCACTCTGTTCCTTATAGAGGCATATGTGGCTATTAATTTTGCCTCGTTCTCATTGGTGAATCCTTGTGTTCAGCGGTTGTGCTCGAGTCATTGTCATTGGCTGCGGAAATGTTGTTGAGACTTGGTTGGGATTATCGCACTCAGATTGGTGCAACGGGTGTGAGTGAGTAGTCTGGGCTCATATTAACCATGCTGTCCACTGTCCGTGTGTTGGATTAGGTTCTTTCGGACAACGGTTGTTGGTCCTCTTGAGCTCTCTGTGTCTCAGCGGTTGATATATTGGATCGAGGTCGATATGCAGGTTGATTGAGTTCGTGGTTGAGAACCAGGTTTCGGGAAACTCCCTCCCTTTTTGTGTTTCTCCTTCGGTCAAGATCTCTACCTTGTTCCAATCGAACCTGTGTCCCTCTTCATCCACGTGTGCTGAAACCATTGAGGTTGCGGAATGGTTCTTGCACGCTCTTTGGTGTTCATGTATTCTGGTGGACAGCTTTCTTCCTGTTTGTCCCACATAGTGCTTTTCACAGTTTACGCAGTTTATTCTATTTTCGACATTCCGTCGTTCTAGTGTCTATCGCCTTCCTTTTGGTTTTGACAATGTTTTCCTCAGAGTGGCGGTTGGCTTGTGGGCTACCATGATATGATGTTGTTTGAACAATCTGGCAGTCATTTCAGACACGTTCTTTAGGTACGGCAGAACTATACGTTTCTTCATAGCTGACGTAGGTTCGGATTTTGAAGGCTTGCGGTTTAGGCATCTTCGGAGGGAACTGCATGGGTATCCGTTACGTTCAAATGACTTGAATAAGTGTTTTCTTCTGCCCGTTTGCTTCTGTCGTACTGCAGTGAGTTGCTAATCTAGACAACAGTGTCTGCACACACGTTATTTTGTGACACCTTGGGTGGTTGCGGTTGAAATTCAAAATCTGATCGGTGTGCATGCTTTTTCTGTAAACTGAGGTTTGCAATTCGCCGTCCACTGTTCTGGCTATTAACACATCCAAGAAAGGAAGTTTGTTTTCCTTCTCTGATTCTATGGTAAACCGTATGCCGTCCATAGCGTTGTTAAGCAGTTGTTGTGCCACCGATACTTGACTACGTTTGAGTATCACAAACGTATCATCGATGTAGCGAACCCAAAGTTTCGGATTAATCATTGGTAGTAGATCCTCTTCCAATTTTTGCATGACAACCTCTGCGATGAGTCCGGATACCGGTGATCCCATCGGTGCACCTTTCACTTGTTTATACATTTTTCCGTTGAACGCGAAGTAAGTTGAGAGACATAGGTTGAGAAGTTCGCATACGCTTCTGGTCGTCATGTTCCCAATCTTCGCTCCGCTGTTGTCCAGACGTACTGTGATAATTTCTTTGGCCATCTGTAAGTTGACGGAAGTGAATAGGGCGGTCACATCGAAGGACACCATGGTTTCGTCATGTTCTATTCGTAGGTCTTTGAGTTTTGTCAAGAATTGTTGAGCGTTGTCTATGGAGTGTTGCGATTTACTGATTAGGTGCTTGAGGCGCCTCCATAGTTCTTTTGCCAGATAGTAGGTGGGCGTGCCTGGGAGTGAGACAATTGGTCTTAAGTGTGCTCCATCGTTGTGTACTTTAGGTAGTCTGTAGAATTGTGCAATGTTCGAGTCGCGAGCCCTCATTTTTTCTCGTTTCTCTTCCGGTATTTCGTTCGACTGCTTAAGCTTCGCCAACACTCTGTTTTTTGTAGGTTAGTTGCGAGGTTGGGTCAATCTCAATGCATTGGTAGGCTGTAGTATCGTTCAGGAGCTGCTCCGCTTTCTCGGTGTATTCTGCTTTGTCCATAATTACTGTCATCCGTCCATTATCATCAGGTAGAATAACAATTGATTCGTCCGACTTCAGAGCTTTTATTGCTTCCTCCTCTTGTCGGAATAGAGGGTTGCGTTGCCTTTAAATGCGTCATTGCTGGGACGACTGTGTATCTAATTTGTTTGTGTGGTTCGTCGTCTAGTCCGTTGGACTGCAAAGCGCTTTCAAATCGTGCCAGAAAATCCCTTAGTTGTCGCGTCTTTGTAGTTATAATTTAGGCCTTTGATGAGAAATTCTTGCTCCGTACCACCGAGTGGCCGCCACTGAGTAGCAATGTGGGTGGGACAAACAGGAAGGAAGCTGTCCACCAGAATACATGAACACCAAAGAGCGTGCAAGAACCATTCCGCAACCTCAATGGTTTCAGCACACGTGGATGAAGAGGGACACAGGTTCGATTGGAACAAGGTAGAGATCTTGACCGAAGGAGAAACACAAAAAGGGAGGGAGTTTCTCGAAGCCTGGTTCTCAACCACGAACTCAATCAACCTGCATATCGACCTCGATCCAATATATCAACCGCTGAGACACAGAGAGCTCAAGAGGATCAACAACCGTTGTCCGAAAGAACCTAATCCAACACACGGACAGTGGACAGCATGGTTAATATGAGCCCAGGCTACTCACTCACACCCGTTGCACCAATCTGAGTGCGATAATCCCAACCACGTCTCAACAACATTTCCGCAGCCAATGACAATGACTCGAGCACAACCGCTGAACACAAGGATTCACCAATGAGAACGAGGCAAAATTAATAGCCACCTATGCCTATATAAGGAACAGAGTGGTTGCTGACAGTATCCATTACTGGGTTTGCTTTCTGCCAGCTCCTGCTACTTAACTGCTATCAATCCCGCACTGAAGATGCCACCTCGAATCGTGGCGGAACGTTTGCAACCAAGTTACCCAGTTCGGAGAACTCCACAACAACTGAGCAAGCCTCCCGAGCTACCAATTTTCCAAATCAGTTTGTACTCCCAAACATTCCAGCAGGTAACGAGCCCAAAGATTTTCTTCTTTTCTAATACTCCACCATCTGTTTTAGACATCCGCTTCACTGCCGTAGCTGTTTTGAAGTAGTTGTTTTCCTTGCCTAACCACAGTTCTCCCGGAGCCTACAAAATCCGACCAAATGCTCTGCAAGCGGTAGCTAGTGATCTAGCAGAACCACTGGCTGTTTTATATCAGCGATGTCTAGAATATAACCATATTCCATTAGTATGGAAGCTAAGATTCATCACTCCTATCCATAAAGGAGGTAGCCGCACGGATCCTGCCAACTACTGTCCAATAACTCTGCTTCCCGTACTATCCAAATTGATGGAATCAATCATCGCAGATGCGTTGATGCAGTATCTGGAAAGCCACAACTTAATATCTCCAGAGCAACATGGCTTCCGTTAAAAGCATTCATGTAATACTAACCTGTTAATTTCATGTAATAGCTGGACTGAAGCTGTTGATGATGGAGCAAGACTTTTGAAAGCGTTGAATAGCTTATACCATAGAGTTCTCCATCACATGCATCGAAACTACGGCCTTAGTGGCCCAATGCTGAGTTGGATTAGCAATTCTCTACACGATCGACGGTTAGATTTGAGAGTCCGAGAATCATTAACTGATGCAATCGATGTAGCATGTGGAGTGCCACAAGGCTTGATTCTTGGACCTTGTCTATTCTTGGTGTTCATTAACAATTTGGCGAGATCAGTTACTTCCGAGTTTCTATTTTTCGCTGATGATATCAAGATATGTCGAAGGATCAGAGGACCGGAAGACCACGGACTGCTCCAGTGCCATCTTAACACAGTGTCGAACTGGTGAATTCAAAATGTCCTACCATTCAACGTAGACAAATGTCGCGTGGTACAATTACGCCATAGACATAACTACACCTATATACTTGTGACAAACGGATTGCAGAATAGCTCCCAGGAACCTGATCATGGTGTGATCGTACAGAGCAACTTCAACTGTTCAATACAGGCTGAGGTAGCTGCGAAAAGAGGCAACCAGCACGTCGGCATGCTGCGAAGGGCATTCGGGAGATTTGACCCATCAATCTTCCCAATGATGCACAATTCCTACGTGCGCCCGCATGTTGAATACGCTATCCAAACTTGGTAACCTTGGTTGAAGCGCGACCTATAGGCGATAGGGGCACCACAACGGAGAGCAACAAAGAATGTAAAGGGCCTGCGCTATCACTCTTACCATCGAAGGCTGAAGTTGCTGGGAATTTCAGCGGATGCTATCGAAGGTTGCGTTGGGATCTCATATTAGCGTATCAGATACTGAGTGACCCCAACCACGTATGCCGCCATTTGCTGAAACGCAGCCACAACACGCAGCTCAGGGGTAACTGCTTAAAACTGAAGGAACAAAATAGCCGTCTAGAGTGTCGACGGAATTACTTTTCCCTTCGGGTTTGCCAACCCTGGAACGCACACCCATACTCAGTTGTATCCTCTCCTGCCTTGGACGTTTTCAAAAAACGATTAACTGTTGCTCTTTGCTACCAGCTCTTTGTTACCTAAACTCCTCTATTGTGAATTACGCCAAGTTGAGTTTTCTACAGGATTTATGTACCAAATGGGCCTAAGTGAACGACCATATTTTACTTTTCTCACTCCTTACATCAACGATCACTGCACCCCAGTGTCCTTCTGAACGTTTACGCTCGATAATTTTTTTCATTTCACACTGATGTTAATTATCAAATTATTCATCTCGGTAGACGTTCGGTAGATGACCCAGATATATTTTGATTTCATCATATTCACAACCATCATACTGGACGTGTCAAGCACTTGCTTTTCTCCCGTGGTAAATCATTGTTCATTGTTCAACATATTCAGTTATGGTTTCAAGATACTGCGCGAGGTAGAAGGCTATCTACCAATAACTCTAATAGGAAGTATTTGTCCTCTTAGTAGTTGAGGACAATTTCTATTGTATGGACTCATTTTTACTCACTCTGATTGGACCGCTTTAAGCGCATTCCTACGCAACTCCTCCAGTGAATTTAAGCAACAAATTCAACAGAATCGTATGGGGTCGCGTCTCCCAGCCAAATTTCTGTCGGACAAAAGCCGTTGTCCGTCTAATTTATACATTCACCTCTCCCGTACGACTTATATTGATGGTCGCGGTCAAGTGCTAGCAGCACTGATAATCGTTAAAGGCAATCAGTAAGTCTAGTTCAAGCAAATTTCTGTATTACACTCGTAGCATCACTTAAAATGATTATCGCTTTTGTCTTCAGGCCATTTAATATTCCCAGTAACTTGTCACCCACTAGATATTCTTTTTGTATTATTTCTTTTCTAGTGGTTTAAAAAATGGTTCAATAGATTACCGACTTGTATACTTACTGATATTGACACGGTTTATACAATAAAATAAAGCAAAGGTTTATCTAAATTTTTGCGCGCTTAGGTTAGGCCGTCAATTAAAAATATTCTGTCCATTGTAGCCATCTATTGTCGGATTATTCCCAGAATGTGTTCTGAGTACATGTGAATTCGCCTTCGGCTTAACCAGGTTGACTTGTCTTGCTAGGCAGAACCTGAGCTACCATTTAACTTACGCTAATGTTAGCTGTTGTATAACTTTTTTGTAGATTTGGCGTCACTTACCATGGATCAAATTCATTCTGCACAGTCTGTTTAACACCGTAGTGATTTGTTTAATTCACTGCACTTCTTTTCAGTATGTTTAACTTCTTGTTCTTTTAACAATACTTGCGGAATCTAGGTTTGATAGAGTTAACTGGATATAGCCAAGTAGTTGGCACAACCTACAGGCTAGAGGAGTCAGCTTCCTAAATATTACGGTAGATGTCTGGTGGTGTTCTCTACGTTTAGGTGTAGATGCTGACAACTTTGAGCGGTGAATGTTACATAATCCAAGTACACTGAGATTTCCCCTAGACATAGTTTACCGTAGATAGCATCCATTGTAAACTAAACTTTGTGATAACTTTTTATGTTACCTTGCCGATAAGCTGGTGATATTTTCTCCAACTAATTTCCTCTATTTGCATGTGTATCGTCTACACGTTACACAGTGATCCCAATATTTGTAGAGTCAAAACATAGTATAACAACCACAAGCTTGCGATCCCTCATATCAGTGGTCTTCATTTGTGCCGAGTAGAGAAATTAATTACCATCAAGCCTAGTCACAGACACAGTGCGTGCCCTAACCGAAGTACAAATTTATGGAAAAGCAAATTTTGCGCCTTAAACATTTTCAATCAAACAAAATATGTATTATAACCCCAATGTTGCGCCATCACCAAATCATAATGAATTATTGACTTAAAACTTTTCTTCGCTAGCAACTTAACAATCGCATAGCTTTTCTGTTTTAGGTGAATGAGTGAGAGAAGAATAGTTCTGACTGACGCCGCGTTGGAAGAAGTTAGGGCCTGACGAAGCATGAGTTACTTTGAGACTTGTCTGCACGATGATGGGCGCTATCAACCAAAATAGGCGCCACTAACTAAACCAGAGATTTGCGGTACGCTAGCTGCAGTTAACAACACCGCATGTTGCTCAACATGCAATGCTTAGTTTCGGTAATTTTTGTATGCTAACCACAGTACTACATCTACACGAGACGTTTAACATTAGACGAACAGCAACACTTTCTATATTGAGCCACCTTTGTTAACACTTTACCGTCCCACTCTGGTTATAACATTACTTTTGTAAAATGAAACACTGCGAATGAAACGGCGGTACAAACCTCGTTGACCTCTGTACGAGATGCAGTAGTTGTAACGGCGTTTGTTTACAATCAAGAAGGACTGAAAAATTGGTCATGCATCCACCCAGCAATAGTAATGTGAAGTCACAGGCGCTGTTTCAAATCGAGATCAGATTCATGCTTTGTTTTCACTATCTCGCTCTTCTCCAAGAAGTGAGGCATAGTGTTATGTACGTGACAGCGCGCAATATTTTATCTTGGCAGTAGCGTTCTTCTGGGTGATACTGAGGCAACGACGAGACTGTTTTTTGGGATCGGTTGTTTCAACAAGTGAGGCTGAAACAACTGAACCAAACTCTTTTTGGTACACGATGGCTCAAGGTATGCGGGCATGAGCTGACCTGGGATAAGGAGCCTGCTCATTTTCGTCTAACAATAGCCGGAAATCGACAGAATGCTTAAGTGAACGTACTGGTCAGGTGCAACTCCGGATAAAGTCCCCTCAAGTCGCTGTCCAAGACGCCCCTATCATTTATACCAGCTGTTGAGTAAATTGCCAAACAGCCTTATGTTATCTTGCCAAACAGTAAATGGTGAGGAAAGACACCTTCATCTAAGCAGATCCTTTGGAATTTAATGAATATTAATGCCAGACCTCGGTGTCAAGTTGTCTTTAGCTGCATTTTTTAATCAGTTCAATTTTTACTATATTATGCATAGGAACCGATGGGATGCTTTAGTGCTGGTTTGCTTGTTTACCATAGATGTGAATCACTCCGTAAGGCTCGTCCCACTTACATCGTCCGCATTATAGTGCACTGAACAACAAGCAAATCAAGTGTCCAAGTTAGGAAGGTTCGACAGTGTGCAATTTCATATAGGAATGCACTGCTTGAACGAACGGAGCTTTTTCAATTAACCTGATCCAATCGTTCGAAAAGTGATGAAGCTTCCATAGGTCTGAGGGAACCGAACTAGCAACAATTACCGCAACATCTTAGAACGTAACGTGCTACTGTCATGGGAGATCTAGGGAAACCGAGAAACTTCAAATAAGCTATGACCACCTTGGAGATGTTGTTATGATGATGCAGAAGTTTATCAGCCTTTGGTAAAGGCTTATCGGTGCAGCTTGTCACACGACGTTACATGGTGGTTGCAAAGAAAACGTTACAAAAAGGTAAATCTCGGCTTCCGTGGTATGCAAGAAAACCATCGAGCGTTGCTTTTACTCTGTTAAATGCTGCACGAAAAACATTTCGGTGTACGGCTGCGTCCCTAACCCTCATTTAGCCATTTAATGCATCATTTTACAAAACAGGGTCTGTGGGTTCCTGATCTTCAACTTTATGGTCTAGTTAAAAGCTCAAACTACGAAAATACGGAGTGACGGAATGCTAACCTATCAGAAAGTATTCCATTTTTCTTGCATTTTAGACGGCCGCAGTATGTCAGCATGTGTCCATGGTCATTTGACATGCTTGGTTCATCAGCACTCTCAAGTACTCATGAGTCGTGTGACGCACGCCAGCAGGGTTTTGTTCATGGAATCGGAATGGAGAACCAGCGCGATGCTACTGGCTGGAATCAGAATCATCTTCAAGACCATTTCATAAGTACTCAGGTTTCTGTCAATTTTTTCGATGGAGGATTGAGTAAAGGACACGGGGACTCGGACGAACATGCTGATATGCGACAGCGAAATGTGCGATTGAAGCTGCGGCGTGCAAGGGCAAATGCGCGAGAAAGAACTCGTATGCGTGCACTGAATTCTGCGCTAGACACATTACGAAGACACATTCCAGTTTTGTCGACTACGAAGACAGTACCAGGACACACTGTCGATAGTACGCCATATTGTCAAACTGGTCTCTCAGTGGCTGCGCAGAAACTGAGCAAGATTGAAACACTTCGGTTGGCCAGGAATTACATATTTCTACTTCTATCTGTTTTGCGGAACAACCGACCAACAACTTCGCAGGCTGTTGTTAAATGTCTTTGTAAAGGTCTGTCGCAGCTCACGGCCAACCAGGTTTCAGCAACCATCGAAGCAAACGAATATGATCGAGAAGCACGAAGAATTCTTTTCAATGACCAAGTTGTCAAAGGCTTTGACTATGTACCAGCGAACGACTACTTGTGTGGTTCGGTTCAAATCTGTCGATTAATACTTGAGCAACTAGCACGTGATAGAACCACACAAGATTGAAGTGCGTACCCTTTGAAGCACGCAGCTCGAAGATTCAGCAGAAGTTCAAGTAACCCCATCATACTCCATTGCTAAACTGACAATAAGGTTCATATGCGTCAAAAGGTAATAAACATGAAGTGTTTCATGTTACAATGTAGAGTTCGGAGTACAAAATGCGCAATAACTTTCGGTTATTAACTAACAATAACTGTTTGCTTTTATTGTTTGGTCGCTTTTCTAGCACCACCTATTCTATCGTATTCAATTTGTGCTTCAACGCATGTTTCGGGTGCACCCAATGAATTTAAAACCTTGCAAAAATTTAGTAAAGTAAGATTTCGATATTCAAATCTGTTCGACGTGCCATAACTTTAGCCTTACTGTTGGTTGCATTTATATTTCATCCCTTTTGAACAGAAACTTGCACGATGCGTCTACTAAACCCTCAAGATCACCCCACCTAAACAATGTACTTTTCTTATTTCTTGAACCGTCAGTGATTAGGTAGCAGAACTATGGATCCATACCCATAAATCAAAACACTGTTTTTCAGAATGGCAAGCATCCGCCTTAGCAGTTCTGTGTATGTGTTATGCGTTGTTTAAGCAACTGCGCGTTAATGGATTTGGTTATCCCCTTCTGCTTAAGTGAGTACAATGTAAGGTTTTGATATGGCAGTGGAAGTTGGCCAACGATGTTCACGCGGTACAAAAGAGCAGTTGGATTTCCAAAATAATAAATCAGCTATAGGTTGCTGTTTAGCTAAAATGATTGTGGTAACTTTTTGGGAATTTTATGGCGGTGTTGGAGAATGACGTTCATCTATAACTAACTGGTGATAAGGGTTAATTTTTCTCACATCGCCTAGATGCTACGTTCCGAAAATCGTGTGTAAAGTGGAAACGACATTTAAAGAAATGCATGCACCTATGACGGCCAGTTACCATATGGCGCACGCCAACTCCGTGCGCAATGGACTGAAAAAGAGAACCAACAAAGATATCATTCAGGACAACGAGTACTAAAGAAAGACTCTTCGACGTAATGCCATAACCACTTTCCACCTGGTTTAAATGTCTCATGTGAGAGAACGCAAAGTGTAGTCTCCAGTCTGAGAGACGATCATTTCCATGCAGTTGTGCTCCACAATATGCCGCTACAATACCACCTAAACAAGTGGGCAACCAGAACACCGACAGCATTTCACATTCACATATCCTACTTGTATTCCATATCAGCCTCAAACGTTCCGAACGGCAAAAATAGTAGATGGTCTGTGAAAGATTTCAGTTTAATTAATCTTCTAATTAACAATCTATTTTTGCTCCTTTTTTACCATGATTAGCGGAGTGGAAAATAACCATGTGTGAGATTTTGAAAACATTCCTTTGCAATTTAGCCACGAAAGACCAACCGGTTAGCGTGCTAACCTACAGCAAATAGCTTAAAGACCAGCTGGCGACTTTGTAATTATACACGAGAGCTGACGACGTGGTCCTCTGCTGATAGTGATTTGACAGTTTGCACCCCCAATTTATCGCTTTATGGCCGATAAGCCGCCCATCTGTTCATATGTATCCCTCTTAAGGACGGAAAACTTCTGCACAAGCCATAAGGCAATAAATTTTCTTGTTTTGCTATAACAAATTTTTAAATTGTTCTGTTATCTTCGGTCCGCGGAAACGTCAAACGCGAACATTGTGACAGTCGGTTTGGGAGTTCTGCACGGCCTTATCAGACGCTCACCGTCCTTTTTGTATAAGGCTGAAGATTTGTGTCCGCCACGGGTTTACCAGATGGGCAGCTGAAAAAGTCAGATCTGAAGGGTATAATTGTCTAAATAAGTAAGTATGTATTTATAATTTATTCACAAGCCTGTAAACAGACGAACGTGTTATATGAACCAGAGTGGCAGGGAAAGAAGTATTTAGTGTCCAAGGAGAAGAGAGAGTTAAATGTTAGTAATAAATTTTCAATTTCACACGCGTCGTTTTGAGTTTGTTTGTGTTTCGTTTTCATGTTTCATACAACATTAAAATTACATGATGAAGAGATGGTAGAACAACATTGACGTCATTAACTACTTTTGCGCGCCATATCCTCCAAGACTTCCAACCAATGGGAATCCGCTTCATGTGGTCCCCAGCCTGGGAGACGCACGGATCCAACTGACTTTAGACACGAAGTTAGAAGCTTCATGCTCCTTTGGCAGGTCAATGTTTGTCCGCCGCAGCTCTTTTTCCATTCGACTCCAGAAAGTGCAAATAATACGCGACGTGGAAGGCAATTGGCCGGCATGCGCAGTACCTGACCGAGCCAAAACCAGTGGTGTTGGATACTTATGCACTGGAGACAAGAACTGTCCGCTCCCATGACTCTGCTTCTAAATTCCGCGTTGCTCACATGGTTCTGCCACCATACGCGAGCAATCGAATGCAGACAGCTGTTGTCGAAAGTAGACAGTCGTCTCAAATCTTCCAGTCGAACAAGCCAGGTCTCGCAAACACAGGAGGACAGCACTAACCATAGCATTGTACACACGGCCTTTGAGCTTGAGACTGACCTCCCGATGACGCCACAAGTGTCTCAGGTTAATACATGCCAGACGAGCTTCGGCAATTCGCTGTGAAATTTCACTGCCAATACAGTCATCAGCCGTGATTCAACTCTCGAGGTAAGTAAAGCTGTTAACGAGCTCCAGGCTGACACCCGAAATGGTGAGCGTAGCCATAGGCGTCTGCCAATCCTGGAGCAAAGCTTTGCACTTGGTTTGAGCAAAATACAGACCATACTTAGATGCCTCTATTGGTAAGCGGTTCAGAATATTTTGAACAGCTTGCGAGTCGTTTCCCAGCAAAGCGATGTCATCAGCATGGTCCAGGTCCTCAACTCTGCTCCCGAGTAGAGACTCAAGGTCGCAGCTCTGGGCTCCTTCCAGTGCGCGGGGTAGGACATATTCGATGGCTAAGTTGAACAGGAACGGCGAGAAAGGACAACCTTGGCGCACTCCAATGGTAGTGGGAAACGAAAAAGAAAGCCTGCCATAAGCTATAGCTTTGCCAGAAATGTGACTACACAGCTCTTTCAAGAGTATGACAAACTTGTCGGGAACGCCGTTCCGTAACAGACAGTTCCACAGTGACGACCTATCTACCGAGTCAAAAACTGCTCGGATGTCCAAAAACACCACCATTGTTGGTCTTCCGTGGACATGACCAGGTTCGAGAATTTGTCGCAACGTGAAAATTTGGTCAATGCAACCATGGCAAGAAGGAAAACCATCCTGTACCTCACGACACAAACTATGCGGGTAAATGAGAGTCTACGCAGCAGAATGGACACAAAAAGCTTGGACGCGACACAGATAAGTGAGATTCTTCCGTAGTTGGTCCATTCGTTACGAGGGACCCTATTGTAAATCGAACCACAACAGATTCTTCCCCCTGAGTTAGGAGCCTTCTCACCGCTTCATGCTTTTGTGAACAGTGATAGAATTTCTGTTACAACTAAGTTTCCCCATCTTTGAATGAGGCCGGAGGAAGACTGTCGAGCCCAGAAGCTTTGTAACGTTTCAGAGTCTGGATTTCTCTCTGCATTTCTGCTCCAGTGGAAGGATCTATTCCGACTGACCAAGGATCACATGATGGCAATGGATATGTAACCGGAGGTTGTGTCGGGCAATTAAAATGGAGAGCAAAGTGCTCTACCCAGCAATCCAGACGTCTGCGTAGGTTGGCGATCTTTGTATCGTCTGACCCACAGATGGTCTGATTGATAGCCTGAACTTTGCATCCGGTGGACCTGCTGAGGTAAAACAACCTGCGGCTGTTACAAGCCGTGCCAGCAAGTTCTATTTCCTCGGTTAGTTTAGACCACCAAAATTCACGGTCAGGGGCGAAGACTCGCTATCAGTTGTCTGTAAATAGAACGGCAGAGCTCAGCGGGTTCCACAAGTGTAACTCGCCGATAGCCGAGAAGTTCCACGGAGGTGACCGAGATCTAACTTTTAGTTGCGCAACGAACAAGACAACAACTGGATAAACCCGCTGAAAACATAACCTGTTGCAAATCGCGACCAAATTTGACCAACCTCCCAAGGAAGCGGAGAAGTAAGGATCTCATTAAGCTGCTTTTGATATTCCAATTGTACTGCGGGGTCGTCCAGTTTATCAGAGTTAAGTCGAGTTTATGTAGTCCTAGACGAGCCACCGAAACGCATGCAAACTGACGCACCTACTAGCGCATGTTCAGTTTCCAGGCATATTGATCAATAGGATCTGCAGTCCCAAATACTGCCACGCCAGTGATGACCCATGCGCGATGTGGTCAATCTGTGACCAAGCTTGAGGGGATAATAGAATGTGCCCGGTTGCGTAATGACGCCTGGGATGGCAAAACTTCGTGCTGGAGAGGTAAAGTGGGTGGACGGCACACAAACGGAGTAGTCTTTATCTATTGTCTTAGCGGGCCCCCAAGATGGCTTGCGCTTGGCAACAAACGACCAACACGAGAGTTGAAATCCCCTCCTATAATAATGATGTCCATTTTGGGGACCCTTAACAGCAAATCATGAAGATTAGGATAGAATTGGACCTTGACGGTATCCGGGCTACAGTCAGTGAGAGCATAGGCGGAGATTACCAAAAGAGCACTTTTGTCTTCTTGACACCTGTTAACATTGCACAATCCATTGAGCCTGACAGCAAAAAGGCGACTGTTGATCGGAATCCATTCGAGAAGGGCGGCTTCGGCTTTGGAACTAAGGGCTACCCAACACCAGCATGGAAGAAGCGGTAGCCTCAGCGTCTCCAGAAAGTCGAAGGTGGAAACGAGTAGAAGGATGAGTTGGTGAGGACAATGGGTAGACTGTGCTGGAATCCTGAAGTCGTGTTACGGACAAACAACGGAAATCAATTACAAGAGTTTTTAGAGTGTGCGCGAAACCGGCTTGTTGCCCAATCTATTTTAAGGTGCGCACATTGAACGCCGCTAAGTTGAACTGTGTCTTCGGTTGCAGAAGCGGAGAGGGGAGAATCC